GGAAGAAGCCTACTGTGTAGGCGAAACGTTCGAAATAAAATAACTAACTGTTTCATATGTGTCTTACCTAAAACCTGTCGGTATTATACCATTTTGATTTTTCATGGGAAAAACTTGAGGGGAAAAAAAAAACATTATCAGGGATACTAATTTCTATCCCATATAATTGAGCGAAAAATAATGTGAAGGATCTGGGATTGATAAAGTTAAAAAGGACTGAACCTTCAAAGACCCACCCAAAGGGATTTACGCATCGCTAGGAAAATGAAAGGATGATAATTTGAGAACCTTCAAAACTAAAAGGGTGGGCCCGGCCCAGATGATTCTCTTCAAATCGCCTTTGCTTCTAGGCTGGAATACTGCGCTGAGAAATTGAAGCCGATGGGATGAGGCTTTTTAAATTAATACTAGAATCTGAAAAACAAAAATTTACCAACCGTCGTATGCCTAATTACATAAGCAAGAACAAATATAAGTTACATTGGTGGCGTCCCTTCAGCAGAGTTATTCCCTTGGTGGCGTCTTCAGTTAGAAAATTATCATTGGTGGGTCTTCAGTTAGGGAAATTTTCATTGGTGGCGTCTTCTGTTAGAAGTTATCATTGGGGGCGTCTTCAGTTAGAAGTTATCATTGGGGGCGTCTTCATTAGAAGTTATCATTGGGGGGTCTTCAGTTGGAAGTTTATCATTGGTGGCGTCTTCAGTTAGAAGTTATCATTGGTGGCGTCTTCAGTTAGAAGTTATCATTGGTGGCGTCTTCAGATAGAAGTTATCATTGGTGGCGTCTTCAGTTAGAAATTATCATGGTGGCGTCTTCAGTAAGAAGTTATCATTGGGGGCATCTTCAGTTAGAAGTTATCATTGGTGGGGTCTTCAGTTAGAAGTTATCATTTGGGGGCGTCTTCAGTTAGAAGTTATCATTGGTGGCGTCTTCAGTAAGAAGTTATCATTGGTGGCATCTTCAGTTAGAAGTTATCATTGGTGGCGTCTTCAGTTAGAAGTTATCATTGGTGGCGTCTTCAGTTAGAAGTTATCATTGGTGGCGTCTTCAGTTAGAAGTTATCATTGGGGGCGTCTTCAGTTAGAAGTTTTCATTGGTGGCGTCTTCATTTTGAAGTTATCATTGGTGGCTTCTCAGACGCAGGTGGGCTTAGGAAAGTTAAAAGTGATCACTGGTGGCTTCTTCAGACGTAAGTGGGCTTAGGAAAGTTTCGTGGATTTTCTACTAACATTTATAAACAGGTACGTTCATCCAGGCCACGTGGGAATTGTTCCAATATATCCCTAAAAGCGAGTGTGAAGCCGAGAGGAAAAAACTGGTTGTCCCTGGCGTTATAAACGGTGGGTAGCCACAGTCCACTGTGTCCTCACTGCTGCTGAGCACTGTAGACCAAACTAGTTTTCACCTGGGCTGTACAAGGCACATCACAACTCATTTTTATGTGATTCTTCCTGCCACTAAAACAAGGAATTTACATTTTAGAGTGAGGGATTTTAGCTCGGATCTTGGTAGCTCTCACGCCAGTCCACTCTTTATTGAAGCTTAATCCATTAGCATTCATCTACGGAAAGAGCATTGCATGTTTCAGGAGCTCGTTGTATTCACTTGGTGTCAAGCTTTTGACGGAGGATTTTTACCCGAATCAAAATGTTATCCTAGGGAAAAATCTTGAAAAATTGTGACAAGGTGCAAATCATTTCTTGTAACAAAATAATAAAGTCTGATCTTTCTGTTGAACTTTTTCAGGTCATTCAGTTAGTCCCGAGGACTGAGGCAGTGAACTTGAAACCAAACGGTGCATTAGTGCTACAATTATCCCCGGCCTCTGATATAATGAGTCATGCTACTGCAATGGTTGGCTCGTTGCATGAAATGATCTCGCATTGGAAGCAAAGGGAAAAGTTCTGGAACCTCCTTTCAAAGAGTCGCCTTGTGTTGGTGAAGGAACCTTAAGCCAAGAAATTGGAGTTTTATAACTTCCCATTACCCATGTGTTGCATGAAACCCTTCAAGTTTAGCGCTTCCCCATGAATACAACAATAATCCTGAAAACCCTTTTTATGTGATTCTGCCTGCTGACAGGAACTCTTGTATTTGCTACACTACTGTCTCAGGAAGCAGGTATTGTTGTACCTGCTCGACTACTGTCTTCCAAGAAGCAGGTGTTTTCTGTACCTGATCGACTACTGTCTTCCAAGAAGCAGGGGTTTGTTGTATCTGCTAGACTACTTCAGGAAGCAGGTGTGTTGCACCTTTCCAGGAAGCAGGTGTTGACTTCACTGCTCAATCTGTTGGGAATTTCCATAAACAAAACACAAGGAATAGGAAAAGTCTACCAGTGCAGCTACAGCTATTAGAATTCTTGGCTTCATATCTAGAAGTATAACTTAAGCGTTCTATGGTAATAACTGTACTTAAACTATATATGGCTTTGATAAGAACTATTTAGATTATGTGCTCATTTCTGATCTGCAAATTGCAGAAATGATCATAAAATGCCTTGAAAACATATAAAAGAATGACAAGTGATCAGAACCTTTCCGTGATGATAGGTTGAAGGCACTGAATTATGTGCTCTAAAAATGCGTTAGAATTAGGGAAGCCCGTACATAGAAACCGGAAATAATAAGGGGTATGAATTAATGTACTGAAAATATTAGACCAAAACACGACTCACAACAATGGGTGAAATTTGGAAAAAAAATCGATTTAGAACAATAAGGACAATTTGGTTTGGCAACAGAGTAGTAGGACGGATGAAACAAACTCGAAGTAATGTCATGTTGGAAGAATTTTGGGAAGCTCTTTAAATATAGATTAGACGGGGTACTTTAGTGACGGTGTGCTTCGGTTTGACTTGGACTGCCTACATGAGACAATAAGGCTACTAAGTGTCCCACTGTCATGTTCTTACGACACTCTACAAGTTAGCACTACCTCTAGAATGTTTTATATTTCTTTCCGTGAGTAGTGTTGACTAGGTTGTTTGCTCCCGGCCATAACAGCTTTTTGGTTGTGGATTACAGTATCACCTTGCTAAGTGAATGATGATGTGTGTTAATAGTTTCAGTGGACTCGTAACAAGTTTGATACCATGGAAGAAGCTTCCACCTGTGCTTTAGGCCATCGAATGTGAATTCAAGGCGAGTAGTCTGAGGCACAATGTGGAGAAACTTGCCACACTAACATCTGCTAGAATCTCGAAAACAATCCGGTGATCAAGACTAGACTTAAGCCGTTTTCGATAGATATGTTCTTTCTGACTGAATCTGTGTGCTATCCTGTCCAGCTATCGTTGATCGCCCAATTTCTTTGTTACAGTAGTTCAGAAGCGCCCAATTTTTAGTACAGTAGTCAGAAGAGCCAATTTCTTTAGTACAGTAGTTTAGAGGAGCCCAAAAAAAAAAAAATCTTCTTAGTACAGTAATAATTAGAAAAAGCTCAATTTTAGTACAGTTGTCAGAAGAGCCCAATTCTTAGCGGTCCACAAGGAGTAAGTATGGTAATTCAAATTTATTCATGAAATTGGCAAATTTGGGGCTACAAAGCCGGGACTTAAAAAGTTAAAATGTTCATTCTAAATGACCTACACCTAACAAAGCCGACTAAAAGTAAATGTTCCTCTAAATGACATTACACACTAACACTGAAAGTTTGTAAAACAACGAGAAGAGACATTCTCACACAGACTCTAACGATTCCAGGTTCTTAAACTATGTTAGTATTTTGTACTAGTCTGCACCTCACAGCCCAAAAATTAGTACCTAAACCTTCCTCTAGTTGAGATCCACCAGCAGCTATGAAAGGAATCAATATCAAAATTTATTACACAATTTGGACAGTCAGTCAAAACGAAAAACCTTTCTGTTAAGCAACCAAATCAGTGCTAAATGTTTGAAGCTAATCAGAAGAGGCATTCTAGAGTTATTGCACAAAACTGACGATTCTCAAAAATTCTTGATGATATTTAGTATATTATCAAAGTTCCGGTCCTCACAGCTATAAACATATAGAGGTATTTTCTTTTCTGTAATATGCATCAAGCCTTTACGGTTTACGCCGGTTCCAAGTGAAGCACAGTCATGATACTGTCATGGTTAAAAAAGCACAGTCAAGATGTTTCATGGTAAAAAATATCAAATTTTAAAAGTGAAATTGGCAAATTGGATATCTCAAACTTCAAGAATAATTCCAAACCATTTTCAAAGTAGGATACACCGGTGTTAGGAAGTTTGAAGCAAGCAGAAGACTTTCTCAATTTATCACATGGAAACCTTAAAAAGAAATGATCTATAAAAACTCATATCAAATTGTGGCATGCTTGTGTCAGAAGCCAGACACAGGTTGGTAGGATTTGTGGACAGTGGAGTCGGAGCGGTGTTGCACCTTCTGTGGATTCCGTCTCACATTGGTCTTTAGAGTCATGATAGAATTGATGAATTGGAAAAGATCACGCGCCTTCGAGAGGGAATAAATTACAATCTTGGGCTGTCAGCAGTCTAAGAACAATAACACGAAAAGAACAATAATACGAAAAGAACTTAAAATGAACTTCACTGACTTGAGAGAGGACCGACTTAGGGAGACTGACATCAGTCAGTCCAGCTATCATGCAGGAGGAGCCAATGTCTTATGAAGCATCGAACAAATTAGCAGGACTTAAGCTTAAGGAATCTTACAGGAGACAGAATCTCAGAAGAATAATAAGTCATAAAGGAAAAATGGAAAAAAATCAAAAACAAAAACAAAATACTTCTTTCTCTTATGCCAAATCTAAGGAAGCAAAAAACTCCAGTTTGGGACCCCTGCTTAGGCGATGAAGATGGGACATACACAAATAACAGCAAAGAAATGGTGAGATACATATAAAGACCCCAGTACGACTTAGGTTTTAGCGAGCCGTTACCAGAATAAGGGTCGACAATTCTAAACGAATTCTTTTTAACGAGGCCAAAATTGGAGTCAATCTCAAAAATCTATGATTTATCCTACTCCACAAGATTCTGAAAAAGGCAATAAATGAACATGCCAATGCCATGCACTCTGCCAGGCCCAGACTCTGGAACTCCGTGTTCATCATGAAATACAAGAAGCCCCTGTCACGAGCCTCTAGCATTCCATGGAGACGGAAGCATGGTACATCCCACACTCACTAAAAACAACAGACAGACCCAGTGGCAGTAAAGCAACTGAAAAGAACTACAGACCGTTAGCACTAACATCCCATATCGGCCAACCACCTAGATACCCATCAATTACACAACCCAGGGCAACACGGGTTTAGAAGCAGGTCGCTCCTGCCTGTCCAGCTACTGGACACAATGACCAAGGTCCTGGATGTCTAGAAGACAAATAAACCGGAGATGCATTATACACAGACTTTGCAAAGCTTCGCTAAGTGCGACCATGGTGTAATAACGCCAAAATGCTTGATAAGGAATATACAGGAAAAGTTGGTAGATGGGATCTATAACTTCTAACAAATTGTAACACAAAGAGTATTAGTAAACCAGAGTAAGGTCTGAGGCAGCTCGGTGAAAAGACTCTGTTCCACAAGACACACGTACTGGCTCACATCCACTCTTCTTCCTCATTTTGACATAGAGATGGTAATCCATCATATCTTCGTGTCTTCCTTTCGGAATATAAACGAATTGCCATGACAGTGTACTCCATCGAAGACACGCAAGAATCAAGCGGACATCAACCAATCATCAAATGGGCCAATCAAAACAATATGAAGTTCATTGGAGAAAATTTCATACTCAAATATGGAAAGCTTGTTAGATAAGACACATATGCAACAGTTAGGTTAATCTTTATTCGAAACGTTTCGCCTACACAGTAGGTTCTTCAGGTCGAGCCACAAAAAAGTTGATGAAGCAGAAGGACGTGAAGTCTATGTATCAGTGCATCACCCTTGAAGTTTTGAGGTGGTCAGTCCCCTCAGTCTGGAGACGAGTATTTGTTCCATAGTCTGAAACAATATGGAGTTGAAAGGATGGAGCCTTATTGCTAATATTTGCTATTTTACTGTAAAAAACCTTAAGACACTATACAATCGGTGCCGTTTACCGGAGTACTCCACACAAACATTCCCCAAATTTCAGTGAGTAATAAAGGGCACTATAACAAACAGGACAAATGAATAAGCCACCTTTCTTAGCTGGAACTTCAACATCAACCTTGGCCTACTAGATGATCAGCCTGTAACTGATTTCAATCAACAATGAACAACACACTCTATACCAACAATAAATAAACAACCAGCGCTCACTGAAAAGTGGCAACCATAATAGACCACATATGGGACCAATATACTAGCCCCCCCTTAAATCAGGGGATAATCACAGATAGCACTACAGACCACTACCCTAACTTCCTCTTGACAAACATAAGTAAACCACCCTTGATACAACAAAGTTTCATTTAGACCTCCATGAGAGGCATCAATAGGAGTTCAACAGCTGACCTAGAGACTATTGACTGGCCCTCAGAATCTCCAGGCCAATGGTATTGATGAATTGGACAGACATTTTTTCTTAAAAAATTACTTAGACTATACAACAAACTTGTCCTATAAAACGGAAACAGATCACAACAAAAACGGTTGGTTGCCCATGGCTACCTGCACCATCTCTCTAAACCATTGATATGGAAACCAAACCTATGAAAAGCAATATTGACAGGGCTTAATAACATAGATATTCTTAAACACTATTCATCAGTTCTCACCAAGCTAAATAAAAGAAAGCTCAAAACAAGCTTTACTACTCCAGTAGATTCACAGACACAAGACGGATGATATAAAAAAGACCTGGAAAAAACACTTCTCTCAGGATTCTAGGGACCCTCAAATGAAAAAACTAGAATATTGTCTAACTAACCTAATGAAACACCACAGCCATCTCACTGACACAGCTAACAAGATTAAACGACTGCTTCTCAACCATAGGTCTAATCTCGCCAATAAAAACCAAATACACCGTGCCCATGCCGGGGACTACCTAGATGGGAATTTCCCAAAACTTCCTTCATCTATGCCACCCCACAACTGAGCTCACGTAAGGTCACCGAGATTATAAAGTCACTTAAAAATAACTCAGGGGATTCTGTATCATGTCCCACCATAATTGTAACAAGCGAAGTGCTCCTTGTCCTTACGCTTGCTATTTCATTATTTTTTTAACTAAAAAATGTCACTAGAACTAGCACCTTCCCGAAACTACTCAAGACGGCAGGGTTACACCAATAAATAAAGGTGGTGTGACCCTACAGATTTAAACAACCTAAGGCAATATCAAACTTACCCTTGTATTCCAAAATCTTTGAGAACTCGTGACACAGGAGAATATATTCATTTATTAACGCCGCAAAACTACTCAAACCCTGCAATTTGGTTTCAGGGAAAAATAAAAGAACTAATGATGCAATCATAAAATGCTAGATCTGCTTTACACAGCACTTGGAAAATATGGAATATCCACTAGGAATATTTATTGACCTAAAAAAGCTTTTTGACACAGGTAGACCACAGCATCCTACTCCAAAAACTTGACCATTTACGGTATTTAGAGGCCATGCGCTTGCATAATTTCAAATATTACCTTACTTATAGGTATCAATATGTAATCCATTTAAGAACAGCATAACAATCACGGCAACTTGATACTGGAGTTCCACAGGGAAGTGTCCTTGGTCCCTGCTCTTCCTCAAATACATCAATGATCTTCAAACGTATCCTCACACCTGAAAACCCATTCTCTTTGCTGACGACACGACTTATGTCATCTCTCTCACCCTAATCTTTGCCACCCTCAACACCATGTTAACGAGGAGGTGATCAAAATATCGAACTTGGATGCAGCCATAAACTTACGCTTAACACTGACAAAACCTATATATTATGTTTGGTCAGCCAGGAGCAGAAGTTGCGCAAATTAACATTAAGATCGGACAACACTCTAATTACCAGACATAATGAGGGGCAAATTCCTAGGCATATACTCGACAACAACCTGAATTTTTCAGCACCCATATCCAACGCATATAACCAAAAAAGTATCCCAAACGGTTGGGATCCTCTCCAAGATTACGATACTACGTACCGCAAAAACCCTTCTCACAACTATACCTATCATTTATCCATACCTCACTTATGCTATTGTGCTTGGGGATCAACTGCAGCAACACACCTACAAGCCAATATAACCCAACAAAAAGCCGCAGTAAGAATAATCACTAAATCCATCCCTGGCAACACCCCCCCCCACTCTTCCATAGGATCTAAGCTTAACTCCTTGTTCAGTTCATCCATACTTACTACTGTTGCAATCTACATCTAAAGGACCATTAAATTCCATATAATAACCTTGACCTAAAATTGCTTTTTGATAGTTGTGAATGAACCCACAGGCATAACACAGACACAAACATCTATATGACATTCCCTTGTGGGTCGACTAACTTTACAAAAATTTCAATGTATGTCAAGGCCCTAAAATATGGAAACCCTAACATGAGAACTCTAGAACTGCTGACTCATTCATCACTTCAAAATACCATTAGAAAAACCATCTCTTATCTCCTGATTACACCCGTCAAATAACTACAATAATCCACCTGGTGGTTCACACTTACCACTCACCCATTTGACCATAATCAGAAATATTAATCTAATCTTAAAATAATGAATCTAACTAGTTCATAAGTTGGCGGTGATACTCCAATACTGAAATTTATGACATGTGCCAAAACAAAAGCTAAACTCACAAACTAGTCTTTAGTCACTTAGCCATGAATACCAACTTACCTCATAATTTGTAATATTTTAAATTTAGAATTAAACTAAGTCTGCCCGAAATTCCTAGCCATGTAGGTGTTATAGTGGTACACTCTGTACTTATTATTTTACTACATGTAAAACTACACAATAACCAAATTCTGTTAACTCAGGCATTCTAATCCTTATAGAGAATAAACTTTAGAATTTGAATTTGAATTTATATACCGCCAGCGAGGGTGAGATGTAGGCCAATAGTAATAGAGGTAAGAATGTAGTCGTTGGGAAGTCAACGTCCCTCCCAAATCCCAGACATTCTCACTTGGACAACTTCTACTAGTTAAGAATGGCTGGATTTTAGGAGCGGACGTGACCTCCAAACCGACTACATTCTTACCTTCTATAGAGCCTACATCTCACTCTGGCGTATATTAGGCTCCATCCTGTTACTTCAACCTCCATATTGTTTCAGACTATGGAACAATACTCTTCTCCAGACTGAGGGACTGAACACCTCAAAACTTCAAGGGTGATGGACTGATTACATCGATTTCACGTCTCTTCTGCTTCTATCAACTTTTCTGTACTCGACTGAAGAAGCCTACTGTGTAGGCGAAACGTTTCGAAATAAAAATAACTAACTGTTGCATATGTGTCTTACCTAACAACCTGTCGGTATTTTATACCATTTTGATGTTCATGGAAAACTTGAGGAAATGAAAACATTATCAGGGTATACAAATTCTATCCATATAATAGAGCGAAAAATAATGTGAAGGATCTGGGAGTGATAAAGTTAACAGGATCTGACCTTCAAAGACCACAACAATGTATCTACCGCATCCGCTAGGAAAATGAAAGGATGGATAATGAGAACCTTCAAAACTAGAGATGCCAAGCCCATGATGATTCTCTTCAAATCGCTTGTGCTCTCTAGGCTGGAATACTGCGCTGAGAAATTGAAGCCGATCGGATGAGGCGTTTTCAAGTTAAATACTAGAATCTTGAAGACAAAAAATCACGCAACCGTCAGTATGCCTAATTACATAAGCAAGAACAAATATAAGTTACATTGGTGGCGTCTTCAGCTAGAAGTTATCATTGGTGGCGTCTTCAGTTAGAAGTTATCATTGGTGGCGTCTTCAGTTAGAAGTTATCATTGGTGGCGTCTTCTGTTAGAAGTTATCATTGGTGGCGTCTTCAGTTAGAAGTTATCATTGGTGGCGTTTCAGTATAAAAGTTAAAGTTTCATTGGTGGCGTCATCAGTTGGAAGTTTTCTTGGTGGCGTCTTAAGTTAGAAAGTTATCATTGGTGGGCGTCTTAGTTAGAAGTTATCATTGTGGCGTCTTCAGATAGATAGTTATCATTGGTTGGCGTCCTTCAGTAGATGTTATCATTGGTGGCCGGTCTTCAGTAAGATGTTATCATTGGTGGCATCTTCCCAGTTAGAAGTTATCATTGGTGGCGTCTTCATGTTAGAAGTTATCATTGGTGCAGCGTCTAAGTTAGAAGTTATCATCGGTGGCGTTTCAGTTTAGAAGTTATCATTGGTGGCAATCTTCAGTTAGAGTTTTATCATTGAGTGGCGTCTTCAGTTAGGTTATCATTGGTGGCCGTCCTTCAGTTAGAAGTTATATTGGTGGAGTCTTCAGTTAGAAGTTATCATTGGTGGCGTCTTCAGTTAGAATTATCTTGGTGGCCCGTCTTCGTTAGAGTTTTCATGGTGGCTTCTTCCAGACGCAGGTGGGCTTAGGAAAGTTAAAAGTGATCACTGGTGGCTTCTTCAGACGTAAGTGGGCTAGGAAGTTTGTGGATTTCTCTACTAACATTTTACAAAAGGTACGTTCATCCAGGCCACGTGCGGAATTGTTCCAATTTATCCCTAAAAGCGGTGTGAAGCCGAGAGGAAAAAAACTGGTTGGTTTCCCTGGCGTTATAACGTGGGTAAGCACAGTCCACTGTGTCCTCACTGCTGCACTGAGCACTGTAGACCAAACTGTTTTCAACTGCGGCTTGTACAAGGCACACTCACAATACTCATTTTTATGTGATTTTCCTGCACCTAAATCAAAGGAATTTACATTTTAGAGTTAGGGATTTGAGCTCGGATCTTGGTTAGCTCTCACGCCAGTCACTCTTGATTGAAGCTTAATCCCCATTAGAATTCATTACGGAATGAGATTGCATGGTTTTCAGGAGCTCGTGGTATTCACTTGGTGTCAAGCTTTTGACGGAGGATTTTTACCCGAATCAATGTTATCATAGGCAAAAATCTTGAAGACTTGTGACAAGGTGTGCAAATCATTACTTGTAACAAATAATAAGTCTGATCATTCTGTTGAACTTTTTCAGGTCATTCAGTTAGTCATCGAGACTGAGGCAGTGAAATCCCAAAAAAATAAAAAAAAAAAAAAAAAAAAAATAAAAAAACAAAAAAAAAAAAAAAAAAAAAACAAAAAAAAAAAAAAAAAAAAAAAAAAAAAAATAAAAAAAAAAATAAAAAAAAAAAAAAAAAAAAAAAAAAAAAAGAAAAAAAAAAAAAAAAAAAAAAAAAAAACAAAAAACAAAAAAAAAAAAAAAAAAAAAAATAAAAAAAAAAAAAAAAAAAAAAAAAAAAAAATAAAAAAAATAAAAAAAAAAAAAAAAAAAAAAAAAAAAAAACAAAAAAAAAAAAACACAAAAAAAAAAAAAAAAAAAAAAAAAAAAAAAAAAAAAAATAAAAAAAAAAAAAAACAAATAAACAAAAAAAAAAAAAAAAAAAAAAACAAAAAAAAAAAAAAAAAAAAAAAACAATAAAAAAAAACACAAAAAAAAAATAAAAAAAAAAAAAAAAAAAAAAAAAAACAAAAAAAAAAAAAAAAAAAAAAAAAAAAAAAAAAAAAAAAAAAAAAACAAAAAACGGGGCTTATTTAGTGCTACATTATCCAGGCCTCTGATATAATGAGTCATGCATACTGAATGGTTGGCTCGTTGCATGAAATGATCTAGCATTGGAAGCAAGAAAGAGTTCTGGAACTCATTTCTCAAAGAGCGCCTTGTTGTTGGTGAGGAACCTTAAGCCAGAAAATGGGTTTATAACTTCATTTCCATGTGTTGCATGATCCTCAAGTTTTAGCGTTCCCCATGAATACAAACAAAATAATACTGATCTTTTATGTGATTCTGCCTGCTGACAGAGAACTCTTGTATTTGCTACACTACTGTCATTCAGGAAGCAGGTATTGTTGTACCTGCTCGACTAATGTCTTCAAGAAGCAGGTGTACTGTACCTGATCGACTACTGTCTCAAGAAGCAGGTGTTGTTGTATCTGCTAGGACGACTTTCAGGAAGCAAGTGGTTGCAACTTCCAGGAAGCAGGTGTTGACTTCACTGCTCAATCCTGTTGGGATTTTCCATATAAACAATACACAAGGATTAGGGACTAGTGTTTCCCTGCTGTTGCTTTCTTGTGATCTACGTGTTTTCCAGACAACAGCTGAAGACAGACACACCCGTTGGCCGGAGAACCTTTCGTTGGGACAACGTTTCGCTCGTGCATTACTTGTGAGCATTTCGACATTTCATCAGACAGCAGCATCAATTCTTGCTATAATGAACGATAAGTTAGCAATATCGTGGCTGGAAAACAGTTCACAAAATAACCCTCATTTTGAAAAGGAAAACTCTTGACAAGTCACAACTTGATAGTGATCCGGACACACAGAGACCTGATGTTTCCTTTTCGAAAGTGAGTTGAGTTTATTTGTGAATTCTATATCTTGTTTGTCACAAACTTCAGTGGCGAGGAAAACTTGTGTGCAGACAGTCAGGACATTTAAAGAATGGAACTTTCGCCTCGGTGGCTTGTACGACCCCACTCATAACTGATGCGCACCTTGTGGTGATCCCCGAAACGTTTGCCTGGAGTTTACCTGGAGAGAGTTCCGGGGTGTTCAACGCCCCGCGGCCCGGTATGAGACCAGATCCTTCATGAGTGGATCACGAGGCCTTGATCAACCAGCTGTTGCTGCTGGCTGCACGCAAACCAATCTTTACGTGCCACAGCCCGGCTGATCCGGAAACTGTCTTTAGGTGCTTGTCCAGTGCCAGCTTGAAGACTGCAGGGGGTCTGTTGGTAATCCCCTTATGCTGTGCTTGGGAGGCAGTCTGAACAGTATCGGGCCCCTGACACTTATTGTAGGTCTCTTAACGTGCTTAGTGACACCCCTGCTTTTCATTGGGGGGATGTTGCATCGATTATGCCAAGTCTTTTGCTTTCGTAGTAGTGGAAGTGATTTTCGTGTGCAAGTTCGTGTAATGTCCCTCTAGGATTTTCAAGGTGTATATTAATCGTATCTCTCCCTCCTGCGTTCCAGGGATACAGGTTTGGAACCTCAAGCGCTCCCTTAATTGAGGTGTTTTATCTCGTTATGCGCGACGTGAAATTCTCTGTACATTTTTCTAGGTCGGCAATGTTTACCACCTGCCGTGAAAGGTGCTAGTTAGTGTGCAAACAATATTCCAGCCCTAGATAGACAAGTGATTCCTGAAGAGTGTCATCATGGGTTGGCCTCCCTAGTTTTGAAGGTTCTATTATCCCATCTGTCTTTTATAAGTGTCCTGAATGTACAAAGTGATCCCTTCCAAAGTTTTTTTCGGACATCATGCCATGTACAACCAGAAAAAATAATTTTATAAGTACTGAATGCACTTTTGGCCGTCGAATTCTAATTCTGTTTTATCTAAAGGTCATAAATACTGTACAAGCAACGACCGTCTAATTCTAACAATGCCTTAAAGTCATTAATACTGTACAAGCAATGACCGTCTAATTCTAATTCTGCCTTATTTTAAGGTCGTTATACTGTCAAGCCTTAACGTCTGTTCTAAATTTCTTGCCTTAATCTCATTAATACTGTACAAGCCTTAGCCCTGTAAGCCGTTACCTTCTAAGGCACCTTAAATGCCCTAGAAGTCAGTGTCCCGTAGCTCGATCGCTAGCGCACTCAGTTCACAAACTGAGGTCCGGGGATCGATCCCCGGTACGGCTGGAAAACATTAGGACGTGTTTCCATAAGACACCTGCTGTCCCTGTTCACCCATCAGTAAAATGGGTACCTGGGTGTTAGCCGGGTGGTGTGGGTCGCATCCTGGAGCAAAATTGACCTAATCTGCCCGAAATGCTCTGCATAACAAGGGGCTTTGTATATAGTAATATGTCATTGATGTCAGCTAGAATTGTATACCTTGTACATGTACTTATAAAATAGATATTATTATTATGAGCTGGAGTGAGCATAAACAGTGGTGATAGGGGAAAATAGGACACAAGTGAACTACTTGACATTTTACTGTGGCAACGTTTCGCTTTTCAGGAGCTTTGTCAAGCCGTTACCTTTATTACTAACATTGATGTTATTGCTGGTGTTGCAGTATAGGTGCTGGTGGTCTTATTGATAATGCTGGTATTAGCGTAGCTACTGTTATTTAATGATTTAGCGTAAATGTGTTGTGCTTGAGGTATGAAACTTCCGCATTTTCTTCAGTCTGTAATTAGTGCTGGGCGCTCTTACTGATGTTGGTATTAGTGCTGGTGCTTGCTTTTTGTTTGCCTGGTGGTACTGTTGGTGTGGTATTAGTGTAGGTGCTATCATGATGTTGGTGCCATAGTTAGTGATGATATTGATGATACGACTAATGGTGATGGTGCTAGTGCAGGTGTTGGTATTGGTGCTGGTATTGGCAATGGTGCTGATATTAAAGTTGGTGTTTGTGATAATGCTGTCTAGTTCTCTTCAGATTTTTTAGATTTTGCCACCGAAGTGGCTAGTTTATTGTGCAACCCATATTCATCCTGTGGATGGTAGCGCCAAAAGAGCATATGTATTCCAAAAGGTTTTAGGAACTAACCCCCAAAAGGGTTAACAGGTGTACATATGGGTTTTTATTTATCTACATATCTACAGTTCACTTATCTGTTACATGCAAATTTAGGAAGCTTGCTTAGTATATCTGATATCTTATTTTCATTAATAAGTTATCTCTTTATGGTGTGTAGAAGTGTATCTTGCCTGGCATTTCCGCTCCGTCCCACTAGGACAACTTTTAACAAGCTTTGGACTTCCAGGGTTTTGCAAGAGTGTCCTTTAGAGTTATTTACAATAAATGATCGTATCATGTCTTGCATTAAGTAGTCACGATGGCTGGCTCAGTACATTGAGAAATCTGGTTATCTCGTGGTTAATGAGGTTTAATGTCTATTGACTACACGCGAGTCATTAATGCTGTATTATAGCCTTTTCACCAGTCAAGGATACGTTCAGTGTATATATACACTGAAACATACACTTCTCGGTGAATATGTCATCATATATAGCTCCTGTGTTCCCTCCGTGCCTGCGCAGGCAGGTCGATGCGTGCCTCTCGCAGTCACTTACGTGTGTTCTGGCGCCAGCCATTTGCCGTTCGAATATACCGACTTTGTGAAAGACCTAGACAAGTGTGGTTTTAATGTAATAGAACGCAAGATACGTACAAAAGTAATAGCAGGAAAAATGGGCAGATGGATTTTCAACTTTTCAACAAATCGGAAAGAAAAAGCATAGGATCTGTTCTTCATGGCACCGTACTTGCCCCAAATCTCTTCCTTATTAAAATATCTGATACAGATATAGACAAAAACTATGGCTCGCCCGAAAGCTCAGAGAGGGGCTTCAATATGCTCTGACTTTTCGTTTCTGAGTAAAAGTAATGTGAGGCGCCGTGCGAGGCACTCTCACCCTTCAGAAAGTCAAGGACGGTCGAAGCCACTTACTGGAAGCCTCAAGTAGAGTCAACAATAAATTGGAATTTGACTTGAGGCAATAATTACAAAAAAGTGTATGGATTTAAAGTAAAACTATCAGAATTAAGGAGAATATTATAAAACAGCTAAAAACTGCATCTAATAGTTAAAAAAATATTTTTTTTTCCTTGAGAATAGAGGGAAACGAACGAATATTTTTCCCTTTAGAGTTTTTTTTAGTTTTCCTTTGAACCTTCTGTCTCCATCCTCTTTCCCCTAAAAGCAAAATAGGTCAGCACATAAAACATTCTCCAGTTTCAGCGAGGATTTATTTTTCCCTAGTTTATTTACTCATTGAGGTCTAAAATGTTTTCCTGCAGTTTTAAAGGTCATGGTCCGGGGTGAGTCACCTGGCTGCCTGACACTTACAGAGAGTATGCCAGTAACGTCAGCTAGGTCTGTATAAATTGTATCATTCACTTGTAGAAATAAAGATTATTATTATTATTAAAGATCATAACAGTACATCGGGTATAGGGTATATAACATCACGAGATACAACTGTATCTCTTTGTACACATGTCGAGAGGTGTTTATCTTGATGTTAACATTTATTCAATAAGTTGTTATTTCTCTGTGTTAGTAAAGTGATGGTGTATATATATATATATATATATATATATATATATTTATATTATATATATATATATAATATTATAATATATATATAATATTATTTTTATTTTTTATATATATATATATATACAACTCACACACCACACACACACACACAAACACACACACTTTATGCAGAGCACGGGACATGCGAGCAACAAAACCTGGCAAAATATAAGACAACTAGACAAAGTAGAGAGGTTCTCCACCAGGCTGGTGCAGTAAATGAGAAAAGCTCCGAGAAAAGACAGAACGAATCCCATGTTTCGTGAAGTGCATCAACCACGAGGAGACATGGTCACAACATTACAAATAAAGAACAAAGATGAACAGAGAGACAACTGATGATGGGAGGAGACCAGAATGAAGGGAGAGAACACCCAAGTGATTCATTGCTAATAGATACAGTATGATATAGGATACAAAGGGGTGAAATAGAATACAGAGGAATATAGAATACAGAGGGATATCGGAGTATACAGAGGAATATAGGAGGATACAGAGGGATATAGGAGGTTACAGTGATATAGGAGGATACAGAGAGATATAGGAGGATTTAGAGGAATATAGGAGGATACAGAGGGATATAGGAGGATACAGAGGAATATAGGAAGATGTAGAGGGATATAGGAGGAAACACAGGGATACAGGTTAGTGATATAGGATACAGAGGGATATAGGAGAGAGGAATATAGGAGGATAAAGAGGGATATAACAGGATACAGAATGATAGTCTGATAAATTTTTCAAATTCAAATTCAAAGTTTATTCTCTATAAGGATTATCCCCTCAAGGAAGGTTCCTTGATGTTGGTGAGAGGCTCTTGATTTAGGAAATTGGATCTGTGCTCCAGTACCCCGAATTAAGCCTGAATGCCTTCCACATCATCCCCCCCCCCAGGCGCTGTATAATCCTCCGGGTTTAGCGCTTCCCCCTTGACTATAATAATATAAGGATTACAATGCTGAGTTTACAGAAGGTAACGTCAGGACATTATAATACAGCAGAGGCCGGAACCGGTGACGGGAAGATCATACCAACAACAGGAAGCTAATGAGGCGGCCCAGGCTGAAACTCAGAATCCAGAAACGTTGGTGGTGGTTATGAGGCAGCCATGGGACGTCAGGCAGCGTCAGTGAGCGTCTTCCCAGAGCGCCGCCTGTTGACGTCTTGCTCACTGACGTCACTACAACTCATCCGCCTGACATCCTCTTCTTTTTTTTGGGAAAATATATATAAATATTATTGAAATGAACCAATAATCAATACTATAAATTATTTTTATTGTCTAGCCATATGTAATAAAAAAAAGGGAAAGAACTCTTAGTATTGATAATATATATGAATTGATAAATGAGAGTATGTACTTAATAAACACTTCTGCCATTCTAAAGACGGAAGAAATACTCCTCACATCCCTGTGAATCATCTGTTTCTCAACTTGTATCTGTGCCCTCGTGTTCTGTTCCCGCCTCTCGAAACAATCTCTACCTATCCAACCTAAGGTATGTGTATTGATGTGTGGGTTTACAGGCCGCATTTGATTTCACAATCATGATATATAAGAATGAACAAAGCTGTTCACTTTACGATTACTAAATTGCGTGGTTGCAAGCTGGAGGCTTCATTGTTAAAAACTTATCAGTAGGTGCTTTTAAACTGAATGTTGAGAAACAGGAGTATCGGTACATAAATGTTAACACTGAGTCATCAATGAACCAGCTGTGAGGCTCAGCTGGCTCAGGCTTCACCTCAACAGATAAAGTATGTATCACTTCAGTGGTACACCCACTGGCGGAACTGCTATGCATGTACCCATCTCGTCAAGGAAAATAAATACTGCTCCAACTGGGGCACAGGACACACTCGTAAGTACTGCACCTCAGTCTTTCAACCGAAATATTTCAATTGTAAGAGTGATCATCCCACTCATGCAGCCAAGTGCTCTCTCAGGAAGGAAATCGTCGATAGAAAAAAACTCTATACCCCGACTTAAGATACAATCACTAGACACTCAGAGAATTTACCAGGTTACCCAACAGTCTACTTGTGCTGCCAACTTTATTCCAAAACACCCAGACGATGCTTCCATCAAGATCATGTACTGTATTATGAATGCTCATGTGATGAACGACGCCCCCCCCCCTCCCCCCAGAGCCTTCAACTCCACAATCAGTGAACTCAATAACCTTCCCAGCATAAATTTTCATGAAGCTGCGCCATCAGAAGATATAATGAAAAACCATTCCATCAAATCCTCCAACCCACTACCCATCCATCCATTTCTAATAACACCAGGTCAAGCCACTGTTCTACCCAGCCTGCCACCACATCACACCCACTGCAATCCCACCCAGATCAAGACTCCAACCCTGAAGATAATGAAGTCGACGACCATTACAAAAGTCTACCAGTGCAGCTACAGCTATTAGAATTCTTGGCTTCATATCTAGAAGTATAACTTAAGCGTTCTATGGTAATAACTGTACTTAAACTATATATGGCTTTGATAAGAACTATTTAGATTATGTGCTCATTTCTGATCTGCAAATTGCAGAAATGATCATAAAATGCCTTGAAAACATATAAAAGAATGACAAGTGATCAGAACCTTTCCGTGATGATAGGTTGAAGGCACTGAATTATGTGCTCTAAAAATGCGTTAGAATTAGGGAAGCCCGTACATAGAAACCGGAAATAATAAGGGGTATGAATTAATGTACTGAAAATATTAGACCAAAACACGACTCACAACAATGGGTGAAATTTGGAAAAAAAATCGATTTAGAACAATAAGGACAATTTGGTTTGGCAACAGAGTAGTAGGACGGATGAAACAAACTCGAAGTAATGTCATGTTGGAAGAATTTTGGGAAGCTCTTTAAATATAGATTAGACGGGGTACTTTAGTGACGGTGTGCTTCGGTTTGACTTGGACTGCCTACATGAGACAATAAGGCTACTAAGTGTCCCACTGTCATGTTCTTACGACACTCTACAAGTTAGCACTACCTCTAGAATGTTTTATATTTCTTTCCGTGAGTAGTGTTGACTAGGTTGTTTGCTCCCGGCCATAACAGCTTTTTGGTTGTGGATTACAGTATCACCTTGCTAAGTGAATGATGATGTGTGTTAATAGTTTCAGTGGACTCGTAACAAGTTTGATACCATGGAAGAAGCTTCCACCTGTGCTTTAGGCCATCGAATGTGAATTCAAGGCGAGTAGTCTGAGGCACAATGTGGAGAAACTTGCCACACTAACATCTGCTAGAATCTCGAAAACAATCCGGTGATCAAGACTAG